CGACTAGCAGCGGCGGACGCGGGCGTGGGCGTGGGAGTTGTGAGGATTTTCCCCTCCCGCGCGAGGATAACCGCCAAATGAGGGTTGGGGTAGGTTTTGCTCCCTAATCCTTACTTTTCAGGGTTAGGAGAGGGTTTAAGAGTTGGATCTTTAAATTTTTTTAAGGGTTTGAGGGTTAAGAGGTTTTAGTCTACGCGATTTTTTACTCGTAAATTATAAAAAAATAGTTATTTATAAGAGTTTGAAGGTTGAGGGCTCTGATAGAGATGCTGTTACTGGCGGCCACTGAGGGATGGAAAGGAACAGACTTCACATCACGTACAAATCCACAAGAAGAAAAGAATGCCAGGAACTCTACTTCCAGATCACTTCACTATAAATACAGTCACGAAGCATTCGTGTTGCCTCACTCGAGCCACCGAAGCACACCCTAGCTTGCAGCCTCACTTGTCCTCGAGCACACGCCAGCAGAGGTTTCAGCCATGAGCAGCCGCCGTGTTGGCCTCCTCCTCCTCTCCCTTCTGGCCACCACCCTCTCGTACAGCGCGGATCCGCCGCCGGTGCACGACACCGACGGCAACGAGCTGCGCGCCGACGCGAACTACTACATCCTCCCGGCGAACCGCGCCCACGGCGGGGGGCTCACGATGGCGCCCGGCCACGGGCGCCGCTGCCCGCTCTTCGTCTCGCAGGAGGCCGACGGGCAGCGCGACGGCTTACCCGTGCGCATCGCCCCGCACGGCGGCGGCGCGCCATCCGACAAGATCATCCGGCTGTCGACCGACGTCTGCATCTCCTTCCGCGCCTACACGACGTGCGTCCAGTCCACCGAGTGGCACATCGACAGCGAGCTGGTGTCGGGCCGCCGGCACGTGATCACCGGCCCGGTCAGGGACCCGAGCCCGAGCGGCAGGGAGAACGCCTTCCGCATCGAGAAGTACAGCGGCGCGGAGGTGCACGAGTACAAGCTCATGGCGTGCGGGGACTCGTGCCAGGACCTCGGCGTGTTCAGGGACCTCAAGGGCGGCGCGTGGTTCCTGGGCGCCACCGAGCCGTACCATGTCATCGTGTTCAAGAAGGCGCCTCCCGCAGGTCCATGCGGCGTGATGGCGCGCGCCCGTAGCGTGCATGTGTGCATCTGAATAAGGCTGGCCGAAACAGTGTGCTGTTTTTGTCTCTCTTAGACAATAAGTGTGGTGATGTGCTGTCCTCACTGCTTAGGTTGTTTTGTGAAAGAGTAAAATGCTATGCAGGTACTTGAACTTGCGCCGCGAGCTCGGTTTGGTCACTGTACTTAGAAATACGGTCATTACGGTAACTATGTACGATGGGACGTGATTATACGGTCACTGTTCACCGTATTGAACCGGTACGCCGCCGTTTTGACCAGTCCACGCTTGCCACGTAGGCGTGGGGGGGATTACTTATTTGAACAGCAAATTTAGGAGGGTTTATGTGTAAAAATGCAGTCAGCTCGTTCCCCTCGCAATTCCCCTGTTATCCAAATCCCTAGTTTTGTTCCCCTCGCAGCGCTCGTCGCCGCCGCCCACCGCTCGCCTCGCCATCGCCCTGCGCTCGCCGCTGCCCATTGCCTTCGTCCTCGTCACCCGCCATGTCCAGCAGCAGTTCTGCCCGATCTGGACGCCGCGGGAGGACAGTGGTGGTGCCGCTCATCTCATGCCCTCGCTGCGGCTGCCAAGTGAGGTTCTACGTGTCCAACACGGAGGAGCATGAGGGATGGGTGTTCTACAGATGTGTGACCGTAAGCATCCTTGACCTGATTGACATTGGTGCTTGTTGGTTTTGAGTTTTGAGTTTGAGTTTGTGCAAAATTTCTGATTTTTCTTGGTTTTGAGCTTGTAGCAAGGATGTGTTTTCTGGCATTGGGAGAGGGAATACGTGGCCTACCTTGTAGATCATCGTTATCTTGTTGGGCATGAAGCTGTTGATGCAATTGGAGCAACAGAAGATAGGAGGGAACAGCTTGAGAGAGAAACAGAAGGAAGAAGAAGGGTTGCAGAGAGAAATGCATGTCAGAGGATAAGTATGCAGATGCAAGAACAGCCCGGAGCTAGCATGAACATCACGAGGGCAGAAGCTCGTGCACTTCTTAATTTAGGTGTGCAGATGATGTTACTGTTGAAACTGCTGCTTGGTGGTGTATTGGTGCTTGTTGTGCTATGTGTCATGCTGCTGTTGAAGAAATGAAACTGGTGCTGATGAAGAAATGAAGAAGTGTGGTAGCTTCAATTAGACCTAGTGGTACTAGTAGTTGATGAAGAAGTGTGGTACTAGTAGTAGACCTAGTGGTAGTTGATTAAGAAGTGAAATGTCAGTATGATGACTGTAACAGTTGATGTATGAACCTTTTGTATGATGGTTTGTCTCTGAAGTTCAATAAATTGTTCTGTTGTATGAACTAAAATCAGTGTCAATTTTAGTAGTATGTAACTATGATGTCAAGTAAACTGTTCTAAGTATGTCAGTATGAAGAAAATGATCCAAGTAAGATGTTCCAAGTAAAATGAACAAAAATGATCCAAATAAGATGATCCTGAAGTACATGTTTCAAAAGATGGCCAAATGATCATTGGTTGTTTAGATGGCCAAAAGATCACCATGAGCCTGAAGATGGCCAAATGACTAGTTCCTGAAGTACATGTTCGAAAAGACATAACTTGACAGAAAGCAAAATGAGTAGTTGCTGAAGATGCTATTTTACATAAGATGGCCAAAAGGACTAGTTGCCTAACATTTCTAGCACTAGTCCTTGAAGATGTCAAAAATGCTTCCATTATTCTCAAGCCCTGAGCTATGATGCTCCTCTGGAACTGTTCTATTTACCAGTTTTTTCTTTGCAGCAGCAGCTGCTTGTTTCTCTGCCAGCTTCTTTGCAGCTGCTGCTTGCCTGGCTTGTTCATTTTTTGCATGAGCTGCTTCTCTCTCTGCAAGCTTCTTTGTAGCAGCAGCCTGTTTCTGGGCTAACTTCTCAGCAGCTAGTTTCTCCTTTTGCTCTGCAGCAATTTGCCTATGTGTCTCTTGGATAATTTGCCTTGTCTCTGCATCTGCCTGCTTTAGGATGGCCTGAACTTCTCTTCTCTGAGCAGCTGCCTCCTTCTTCCTTTCTGCTTCTTGTGCTTTCTTTTCTGCTAGCACATGCCTCTTCCTGGCAGCTTCTTCTGCTTTCTTCATTTCTGCTTCCCTTCTAGCTGCTAGAACAGCTTGCTTCTTGTCCTCCAGCTCCTTCTCTCTTTCTGTCTTCATGGCTAGCAGCTTCCTAGCAAGATCACCATGAGTGACTGTGCTGCTTGGCTGGGAGTGGTTGAGCATAGACTGTGCATTGACTAAGAATGCAGACTCTGGTACTGGTGTTTGTTGTATGATTCTTGGCAAAGGCCTCTGCACATGTAGTGAAAAAGTTTTAGTATTATGATTCTTGGCAAAGGCCTCTGCAGATGTCAAGAATACAGTAGTACCTGCTCAAGAATAGAGTCTATCATAAGATCATCCACTGGTGGGGCTCTCTGTGTTGATGCTTCCTCATTGTTCTAATCAGTATGGAAGGGACGTGATCAATACATTTGATATTAAAACAAGATATAGTCTATCATTAGCAAAACAAGAGATAAAATTCATACTATACCTGGGTTCTCACTGGTCCCTCTTCTTGCACATTAGTATTTGCATGTTGAACATTCTCTTGTGCTGCTTCTGCTTCAACTTGTCTATTTGGAGGTGGTAGGCCAGCCTTAAGATATTTACAACCCTTTCTGTTGTGGTCTGGGTCACCACAGTAGGAGCAATGCATTATGACACCATGTCTGGACATTCTCTTCCCTCCATTACTGCATATGATCTCTTCTGGTGATTTCCTTCTACTCTTGCAAGGTCTTCCCACATGTTTTGTGTACTCTGGTGGCAATATTGTGGGGCCATTCATCTTCTCCCACTCTGTGATATCTTTGCAAGGATAAATTATGTTGCTGTAGGCCTTCTTGAACATTGCCACTGAGTAGCAATTATCCACCAATGTTATGGGGTCAACTCTCTCATTTCTGCAGCATGCAATGACATGTATACATGTGACTCCATTTTTTTGCCATCTCATGCAGCTGCAAGACTTGGTGTGTATGTCCACAATGTAGTCTGTTCCTCTATCACCTACTTGAAATACTCCATCTCCTGACTCATATACATAACAAGTGTTTGCTAGATCTTTGAGCTTCTCAACCATCTTCTTTATCTTAGGGCATGTAACTCCTTGCATCTTCTCACCCTCAAGTTGTTTGGTGTAATGCCTACTAGTCCACTGTTGTTTGATCCTCTCAAACATTGATAGGATTGGCAATTCTCTGGCTTCTAGGATATACCTGCAAGCAGGACACATGGGAAGGAAATCATTAGCATGTCAAACTAGGCACAAACTAGGAAGGAAATCAAGCACAAACTAGGAAGCACAAACTAGAAATCAAGCACAAACTAGCAGGACACTTGGGAGAATGCAAACTGTCATCATGGCCCAGATAAATATCAAAGAAGTGATGACCTATTGACAAGAATACCATCATTTGATCAGTATCTGCATCACTCCTAATCTGTCTCAAAGAATTTCTGGTGATGTCAAGGATGGGAATGCGGTAGTATGCTTTTATCCTTCCAGCCATCTCCCATCCTATCTCCTCTACCATATGCTCCACCATGATTGGAGACCATGTTAACCTATCAACTTGATCATACCACACTTCATGTCCATTGACATAACTTCTGTTGCTTCCTTGACCCATGAAAAAAAAACCATGATGAAATAGCACTGAAAATTTGTCACTGCGTGCTCCTGTTACAAAAAAGCACACAAATTGAGTACAACCACCAATAATTGTAACAAACTTGGCAAAAAATGAACCTTTTATGTGAACCTTAAACCCTACAACAAACCCCCAATTGTTCCTCCAAAACCCTAGCACACATTATGAACCCTACTACAGGAGCGAGTACACAATTTAGGACAAAGTATCTACATGGCAAACCGTGGCATCAAACCTATATTCCACTTTTCATGTGGAATCAAACCTATATTCCACTTTTCTAACCGTGGCAAAAAACCCACCTGAAACCCCCAAATCGATTAACAAAACCCTAGGTTTTCTTCCAATGCGGGCAACTTCAAGAGAAAACTTAGGCAAACTGAATCTAATCTGTACATAACTCGATTTGATGTCAAATAGACCAGAATTTTGGACTTACTGTAATCGGGGGCAGGGGCTCCATCGGGGCGACGAATTGCAGCCATGGCGGTGCCGCCTTGCCTTCCCCACGGTCGCGAGACCCTCCTCCACGACCGATCCTTCCAACCCGACACCGAAAATCGCCGCCGACCTCAACGCCGGCGATCAACTGTTCCTTCCTCGGCCGCGACAGGGGAGGGGAAGCGGAGACAGGGGAGGGGAAGCGGAGAGACAGAGGAGGCGGAGAGACAGGGAAATGGAGAGGTGGGAGGGCGAGCAGAGATGGAATAGAAGACGGGAGGTTTTTTTTAGAAATTGGTCACCGCTTCGCTTCTGCAAACGACACGTGGCGCGGGGGAGGGCGTGGACTGGTCAAAACGGCAGCGTACCGGTTCAATACGGTGAACAGTGACCGTATAATCACGTCCCATCGTACATAGTTACCGTAATGACCGTATTTCTAAGTACAGTGACCAAACCGAGCTCGCGGCGCAAGTTCAAGTACCTGCAGTGCATTTTACTCTTTGTGAAACGTGAGAAACTCTTTTCAAGATGCCCCTATGAGTCTCTCTGAGATACTCACCCGTGTGTCAAGCCTACGAGTTAAACTTTGGTGAACCGGTTTCACCAAGAAACATAATTAACCATCTAAGCTACTTTCAACTCGCCTCGTGACACGTGGCGAATCAACCTGTGGTTGAATGGTTAGAGGAACTGTGGTATTCCCAGCCCATCAGGATTCAATTCTTGGTGCTCGCATTTATTCCTGAAATTATTTCAAGATTCCCGGCTATGCACATTCAGTGAGAGGAGATGTTTCCGTCGACGGCGAGGTGCCTATGGTGACTTTATAATTTCAAGATGATATACCGGCCCAGTCTTTGAAAGATGCTTATAAGTGTACGTGTATGCATTCA